AACCCGCCTAAAGGAGGTACTGTTTTCTAACGCAGTTAACCTCAATAATACAGCCTTTATTGTTCATTTGGTTTTTGTTTGTTTTGATTGTTTTTTTTTATTTGCATGAGAATAATTCTCATAATTTCCGCCAGTATTTCAACGAACGGAAGACAAAAGACGTCTTCGAAATGTTGGCGAAAATTATTATTTACCGCTCCGTGTATTTGTTTTTATTTATTTGCTCGCTTTCATACCGACGCCCTCGACTAGGCGACGCTACGCGAGGAAAATTACATGATCCACCTCAAAACCCTGGACGGTGCCCTCAAAGAGGTAACCACACCAAAATCACCCTAAAAAATTTGCTCTTTTGGAGGGCTTTTGTGTTTTTCTATGTATAAATAATTCTTACGATTTATTATTAAAATTTTCACATCTAGAGTAGGCACACTGGGATCCACATGGGGGCTGATATCTATATACATGTATATTTTTCCTAAAGTGGTTAACAAGAAGGACTTTTCCAAAATATCATACCAGCAGTTGTATTAAATTTTATTTTTAAAGCATTTCATGCCGTCAAAACCCCTTTTTTTATCTAATTCTTAACCCTGCCCAATCCAGTTGTTATTGAACTTTCTCTTTCTATCAAATTTAATGTCTAGCACATATTCCTAGCCCAATTACTCCCCTCGATACCACTAATTTCCTACCCATAGCTGTTTCTCATTCAGTTCCAAAACTCCTGTGAAAATTACAAATCGATTCACTAAACCGTTAAAAAGTTATTGAAATTTTAAAAAATTGTAATTTTACACGTCATTTTATGGAGATTCGTTAATCNGGCGCCGGGTCAGAATAGCACCACCGTTACCCCAACGTGTCGTAAGAGGCGACTAAAGGGGTCAAAATTTAGGGCATAAAAAATGATGCTTATATAATACAGGTTTTGTAACGCATTTCTAAAAATTTCCGATTATTATTTTTTTAAGACAATTCCAGTAATGTTGAAATTTGTAATAACGAAGTAGATCAGTGGCTACTAAATATTATTATCGATTAATGTAATAACTTATCGAATATAATTAGTGATTTTTTTTTGTGCCCTAAAGTACAAGGTTTTTAAACTAATAGGAAAGTTTGGAGCAGTCTGCTGATTTGTTTTCTAATCCTTGTGTTTTGGACGAAATCCGTTTTCAGTGACATTTATTTACCATTTTTATTTTCCAATATTTACAGACGAACTTGTCGCCGAGAAAGAACGTTACAAGGAAATTGGAGACGATTTGGACACAGCCTTCGTCGAACTTATTTTGTAAATTTATTTTTACGTCCTGCAAGCCTTTATTATCATTATTATTAATATAATTATTATTGTTATTACTACTATAGAGGATGAAATGATAACATAACATCGTCTTCCAACGAGCTCTCATCTAAAGATCACAAATTAATATATACACAGGTGTAGATAGATTGGCAAATTTAAACCATAGCGACTCACATCTAATATTATTATCAAAATGTTACGTCAATTATTTCTGCACTTAGATCTAGAAATCAATTTTACGTTTTCTAATATAATATACGTTTAATTTTTCTGTATATATTATATACAAATACACTCTCTGTTTTATTCAGTTGTTTTGTTTTACTGTTTGTTGTTTTTTTTTCAGTTTTTCGCTTTTGTTCTTTTTGTCATTTTTGTTTACTTCAACTCTTTTTTTTTAGTTTATGTTTTTGATTCAACATTTGTTTTTATTCTTCTGTTTTCTATCTCTGACAGAGCTTTTCCGTACACTTTTACAGAAACTTTTCGGTGTTGTGAATTGCTTGATGCATCTTTAGCATGTATTTTAGTAGTAAGCTAGTACTAATAATACCTAACTACTGTTAAAACTAATTCTACTAAATTTGTGCTATTTCAGATGAATTAACAGCTCAAAAAGATCGCTATAAAGCAATTGCTGACGAGATGGACCAAACTGTTGCAGATTTAGCTGGCTACTAACGATAACAGACTAATATTAATAACAAAAAAGATATTGTTGCTAGCTTTTCTATTTTCAGAGTGAATCGAGTGTTTGGGGCTAAAATGGCTTGAATATATTATATTTTTAATATGCATTTAAATGTTTTGCTTTTGTTACGTCTGATACGATACTTTAATTAGTAATTTTGCTTATAAAATTACCATCATTAGATGTACGCTGTGAAAGACAAAAATTTTGAATGGTTTTAAGTTATGATTTACAGAAAGTCATGACCGGGGTAAGGGCCGAGCGTCTCGAAGTCGAGTACGTTTATCATTTACTATGTTGGCAGTTTTGGCGCAGAATGCATTCTAAAATCCGAAATCGTTGTTTAAATATTTGGGAAAAATAGAGGCGCTCCCGGAATATTTTTGGTATAAAAATAATAGATACAATTTTATCAAAAAACAAAAAAAANACAGGAGTTAGGAGGGGTAGAGGTAGACCTAGATTAGATTAGTGTTCACAAATAGTTAAGGATGTGGGCTGTTCTAGTTTTAAGGAAATGCGAAGTTTAGCTCAGGATAGGAAAGAGTGGAGGTACGTGTCCAGTCAGTCTTAGGCCTGACGTCCTTATGATGATGGTGAGGGTTTACCTGCGGATTCGCTCGCTTTGATGTCCTAAATGTGTTAAAAGTGATGAAAAACTAATTTTTGTTGTCCTTTGAGAACAGTGTTTCTTTTTGGATTGAAAAGGTACTCCACGTGCTTTTGTGTACCTCTGAAAATTAGTGGAAGTATAAAATTTTCATGATTGGCTAGGATTGTACCATTTTTTTGAATAGTAAATAAATGATTTTATCAAGAAATCGGGGTGAAAGATGCTGCTATAAAATTTAGAGTTTTCCGACGTTTTACAGTACTTTTTTTTGATATTTCATAAAAAATATATACGAAAAATTATTACTAGTTAAAAATTTTGGTGGAGGCGCCGGGATAATTTAAAGTAAAGGCTGAAATTGAGATATAATCTGCATGTCTTTGAAGTAGATTAATGAATTTTCATCTCTTAATTACATAAAAATGAAGATAGGAGTGTTAATTTATATTTTTTTTAATATAATTTAAACTACAATTTTTAATACAATGCATAGACAACCCTACATACAGCTAATATTACAGGTATTATAATGTAGCTATAAGGAAGAATAAAAGACGATTTTTCTCTAGGAACTTACTGATCTCGATCTAATAATTAATTGATTACTTAGGAGTAGTTTTAAAGACATGATGATGTAAAGTTAGTTGAAAACTCTTATACATTTTTGTTTGGTGAAGTTTAAAGAAATCAATTTTACGTTTTCTAATATAATATACGTTTAATTTTTCTGTATATATTATATACAAATACACTCTCTGTTTTATTCAGTTGTTTTGTTTTACTGTTTGTTGTTTTTTTTTCAGTTTTTCGCTTTTGTTCTTTTTGTCATTTTTGTTTACTTCAACTCTTTTTTTTTAGTTTATGTTTTTGATTCAACATTTGTTTTTATTCTTCTGTTTTCTATCTCTGACAGAGCTTTTCCGTACACTTTTACAGAAACTTTTCGGTGTTGTGAATTGCTTGATGCATCTTTAGCATGTATTTTAGTAGTAAGCTAGTACTAATAATACCTAACTACTGTTAAAACTAATTCTACTAAATTTGTGCTATTTCAGATGAATTAACAGCTCAAAAAGATCGCTATAAAGCAATTGCTGACGAGATGGACCAAACTGTTGCAGATTTAGCTGGCTACTAACGATAACAGACTAATATTAATAACAAAAAAGATATTGTTGCTAGCTTTTCTATTTTCAGAGTGAATCGAGTGTTTGGGGCTAAAATGGCTTGAATATATTATATTTTTAATATGCATTTAAATGTTTTGCTTTTGTTACGTCTGATACGATACTTTAATTAGTAATTTTGCTTATAAAATTACCATCATTAGATGTACGCTGTGAAAGACAAAAATTTTGAATGGTTTTAAGTTATGATTTACAGAAAGTCATGACCGGGGTAAGGGCCGAGCGTCTCGAAGTCGAGTACGTTTATCATTTACTATGTTGGCAGTTTTGGCGCAGAATGCATTCTAAAATCCGAAATCGTTGTTTAAATATTAAAACAAATCTACTAACCTGTATACCTACCACAATGAAGAGAAAGATACCCTTATCTACCTCGTCTAGTCGCAGGTAAAAAACATTGTTGGTACTTTATAAAATTTTTGCAACTTACCCTCTATCTAAACAGTTTGTAGAGTATGANTTATTATTTAAACATATTAAAAAGTTTTACGCTCATTATTTATAGAGATTGAAACTAAATATTTTTTTGTTTCGAAGTTGAAATCAGGGCATATTCACTGCCAAAAGTCAGTTAAAAATTTTCCATATTCGTTATTTCTTGTTTTATTCAAAGTTTTTGGACAAATTTCAAGTTGAACTCAAACCGTATCCTTTTTTTTTTAGTATTTATTTACCTCATGTTAGGCTGCAAAATCTAATTAATCACGAATTTCTAATTTTATGTATTCTCGTCTTCGGTTGTACCTCTCAAACATCCTTAACAGTAATCTTCTCGTTTTGCACAACCCTTTCTGTTTAAAATTGATATTTCATTTCTAGCATTTACTACTTTTTAACCCGCCCCCCCAATCCCTCCATTTGCTTTTCGCCATACTTCGAGTTAAAAATCGGTATTTTCTATTTTTTTTTTAAATCGTTGAACATTGGCCTCCCCATTCACACGCAGGATTGGGAGATTATTCTAACTCCTACCCGTATAAGTTACACCCTTTTAGTTTTCTTTTCGCCACCTTAGGTATACGTTTAAGAACGTTATTTTAATTCTATTTAAAATGCAAACATACAATTATTTATTGTTGTATCCATGTGTTGGTATCGATATTTTGGGAAATCTTTTTTGTATTATTCACGGCAAGGTTTTGGCCACTTAATTAGTGTTTTGGCATGATTAGTATAGTACATAATTATTTTATGCAGGCCGCTTCTACCAGAGATACATGCGAAGATAAAATACGTATAATGACCGATAAGTTACGTGAAGTAAGTTAAATGACAAATTTCTTTTTATTATTTATTTAATATCGAAATGAAGTACAAAATTTGCTTAGATTTTATAGTATTGCTGATCAAAATTTCAGAATTTGTCGTACAACTGTTACATGTTAAATTATATAGGTACACACATAAACGATTTGGTGTGGGTTGTAAAATATTTGTAATAATTATTTAATTAAAGTCTTATAGCACTGCACCAATTTTGCATGAACTTCAGATGCAATGATTTTACGGTTATAATTTTTTATGAGAAACAGTAAGTCGTTTGTTGCCAAGTGTTTTCTTTTGTTTAATGTTGTTGTGGTTTAGTGTTTTGCGTTTGTTTATATTTTGCTTGTCTTGCTTCCTTATATGGCTTTTGTTTTTATTAGCGTTTGTTTTTCGTCTTAAAATATTTGCAAATTTGTACAATTTAACGCTAGAGTCTAGTCTTTGGTTTTTTTTTTTAAATACATACAGTTATTAACAGTAAATTAAATGAAATAAGTTTGCTAAAGGAAATTTTGTACCTAATCAGAATTCAAAATACGAAAATTTGGAAATTTTGCTTTTACTAATCAGTTTTGAGGGATGCTAGAACACAAAATGATATAATTTTCTCTATAGGCTGAAGCTCGTGCTGAATTCGCAGAAAGGTCCGTACAGAAATTGCAAAAGGAAGTTGACAAACTTGAAGGTGAGTTTTTAAAAACAAAAAAAACAAGTAGAAAAAAGGCTTCCTCGAAAGTTTTTATTGGACGTATTATTTTGTGTGATTTTCATGTACTTTATAATGATTTTTCTCAGTAACATAAAGATCTAAAAACGTCTTTAAAATTTTGGCTCTTTTGTCTGCTGTAGTAATATTGTTAGTTGTTTTTTGCTTTTTATATTTTATATTTTTTAATAATAATATTTAAGGGTCGATTCTT